GCAAGTTTCTGGGCTCAAATTGTGCGTACGCCAGTTTTATAAATCCGACCCCAGATCTGTTCCACCGTCTGATAAAGTTCCACTCATAGAACAATCTGAGTGCATGAAAATGAAGCACCCTAAAGTTTAAGTCCTCTTCCTAAAACATCAACATCTCCTCATCAGCAGCTGAGTCGAGTGAAGCGAGGCTGACACAGCAAACACAGGTGTATATGCCAAGTCCATGTGACATAATAGGTTTCACCCCACATACATTCCAGATATCTAAAATTGGTGAATGCATAGACAGAGTTAATTAAGATATCTTTAATTGTATTTTGACTGGTATAAATGAGGCCAGATTCAACATGAAGTTGTTTGGAGGCTCCAATTCCAGATATCTGCAGTAAATTTCTGACTATCGGAAACTTACAGGTATCAATAATTAAATTGTGACTCATCATAAAGTAAATTTGAGATCTCTTTTTGTTCTGACTAGTCATAATTTTTATTAAATATATAAATGACAAACATATAAATATGAATGACATCAGTTTATAGGTTCAGTAAATATTGATGTTTTTGTAAGTTTTTCTGACATTTTYATTAATCATTGACATCAAAATTATAGTGTATCGACTGAAATTAGGAGTTTTATYGTGTTAATAGCTCCTTGTTTTTCTCTTCACTCTCCAGGTGAGGAACTGAGTCAACAAGAGAGCATTAAGACAGGGACAAAGGGAGTCTAAGGTCATGGACCATCAGAGGCAGAGGACTCTGTCCACATCAGGAGAATCACTCTACGCTGTGCTGGGAGTGGACAAGAACGCTACAACAGAGGACATCAAGAGATGTTACAGGTAAATAAATGATGGTGTACTGGGACAACCACCCCTTTGGTTYATGGGATGATTTTTGTTTGTCAACCACTAGAGGGAGACAGAGACCCTTAATTAGTTTTCATTTGGTCAAATAAACTCAAATAAACTGATTCATGTTTTAAAAAATCTAGTTGTATTTTACCTTAATAATAACAATAATCCATCCATCCATCCATTTTCTGTACACGCTTCTTCCTTTTCAGGGTCGCGTGGGGAATTATTATAATTATAAATCTGTCTCATCTCAACTGTATAAATCAACACATTTTTAAACTGGATTCTCTTCAGTGTGCCAGTTTAGTCGTTTGTCTCTGTGTCCCTGTGATGGATGGACCTCAGACCTGTCCAGGGTGTCCCTTGCCTCTCACACAATAGCTGTGAGAGATGTGGACCAGATCCACTATGATCCAAAATAAATCTACAAACCCGTTTTCTGTAAAATTGAGATGTTGTGTAAGACTTAGGGTAAATAAAAACAAAATACGATGATTTGCAAATCCTTTTCAACCTATGTTCAGTTTAGTCCACTACAAAGACATGATAWTTATATGGCGGGGTTTGAGACGTGGAGGTCGGCAGGAGCAGATTTCAGCTCCAGAACTGAGCAAGTACCCAGGACCAGAACCAGATCCCTGCTGGCTACAGTAGCTGAAAGAGGCAGCAAGGAGAGCGAGGAGATCATCAAACAGACGGAGGAGGACGTTTTGAGCGACAGAAACTCAAACGGGAACGCGGAGTGGCTGGCTGCGTCATACCGGGAGAAGGCTCCGAAACAGAGCACCGGCGCAGCGCAGCAGCTGGCTGGACTATCCGGGAAGCGACGAGGCCGCGGCGTGGACGTCAGTTGCAGCTGACGTCGGGCGGGCGGCATTGCCGCCAGACCCTGAAACAACTGGGCTACTCCCGGGAGTTGCTACTGCCGGGTCAGTGTGGTCGGCCCGCCTGCGGAGCTGCGGTTCTCGGGGACGGGACGCCGGTGTTGGGTCCTGTCATCTGCTGTTACAACAAACCTGGGTGAACAATGACGACGAGACGCGGCCAGGGAAATTACTCCGATGCCATGATGGAGGAGTTTAAAAAATCTCTGGATTTTATGAGCGCCGAACTGACGAGAGTGGCTTCTCAACAAGAACTTTTGGTTGGGCTATTTGAGGAGGTGAAGCGTTTGAGAGTCGAAGTAAGTGACAGAGACAAGAAAATATCCGAGCTGGAGCAAAAAGTGGATGAACTTGAACAATACACAAGACGTGATGAACTATTGATTACTGGACTGGAAATTAAACATCGGACCACAGAAGATTCTGCTCAGGAAGATCTGCTCTCTTTTCAACAACAGGTGATGACTTCTCTGCAAAGTAAGAATATTGACATCAAGTCCGAGGACATTTCCATCTGTCACACCCTGCCGACCATAAATTTATTAAATAAATAAAATATTTAAAATCAAACAGATAAACTAAATTATTATTTATACAAATATTCACTCATTTGAGTTTGATGCTGCAACACGTTCCAAAAAAATCTGGGACAGTTCCAACAAAACACTGGCAAAGTTGAGGAAGGCTAAAAAAACCACCTGTTTATATCTTTCCACAGGTGAACAGGTTCATTAGGAACAGGTKAGTGTCATGATTGGATATAAAGGGAGCATCCCTGAAAGGCTCAGTCATACACAAGCATGGGATGAGTTTCACCACTTAGTGAACATTAAATATCTTGTCTACGTAGTGTATTCAGTTGAATATAGGTTGAAAAGGATTTGCAAATCATCATATTCTGTTTTTATTTATGCTTTACAAAACATCCCAACTTCATTGGAATTAGGATTGTATTTTCACTGTTTCTCTAAGCAATATTTAGACTGAGGAAAACTCCACCCATATTTGAAGTACATTAACAATTTATCACAATTATTCGCCCTTGTGAACAGGAAACTGGCATTGAAGTTTCACCCTGATAAAAACCCAGACAACCCAGAGGCAGCAGAAAAGTTTAAAGAAATAAATAACGCTCACTCCATCCTGGTCGACTCCACCAAGAAGAACATCTACGACAAGTACGGTTCACTCGGTCTGTATGTGGCAGAGCAGTTTGGAGAGGAGAATGTCAACACTTACTTTGTTCTGTCCAGCTGGTGGGCCAAGGTATGAGAGTTAACTCCCTTTATTTATCACGTTTTGTCTTTGGTTGTCTATACAAACTGCTTCTGCTGTTGGAGCAGCACTGGAAATATTTATTTAATGTTGGTAAAAACATAACTTTGCACATTTTAAAGCAGGTTTCGGTAGAAAAGTGGATCACTGTCAACTTTAAACAACTTCAGTCTCTAATATTTCCTAGCAGTTGATTTAAACATGTCAGTTTTGCAGGCACTGTTGTTTTTGTAGGATTTCATGGTTGTTTCTGAGTGCTTATAGAGCCGTGAGCTGCAGCACTTCCCGTGTAACCTGGGATCAGTTCCAACAGGAAGTTTTTAATATTTCTGTTAAAATAACCACATAATCCAAAATTCTTAAAATGTCTTCATACACCTTGAACCTTTAGACATTTTGTCCTACAAACCACAAATTTAAAAGTTTTTATTGGATTTTACATGACAGAACAGCACATTCAAAGAGCTTAAATAAGATTTGGATCTTTAAAGCATACATTCGGATGTTTCTTGCCATGGTTCTGCTGGAAGATGAAGCTGAGCCTCAGCCTCATGTCTTTTACAGCCTCTAACCTCCATCTATCTTCTAATCATGATGCTGCCACCACCATGTTTCAGTGGGGAGGGTGGTGTTCATTGTTAATCTGCATGTTTAGCTAACTTGTGCAGAGCAGCTTCTTCCACATGTTTAATATGTTTTTATAAGTCTTGTGAATGTAATCAGGACTTCTGGTTTTCTCTCAGCATTGACCTTTTTCTGTTATTTACCCTCCACTGCAGTTCATCTCTACCTTGTGTTGGTCAGTCACATCAAATCCCACTGAAATAATCTGAATTTGTGGTTGGAATTGGACAAAGTGTTGTTCCAGGGAGACAAAGCTTTTTTTCTGATAATTTATAAAAACTTTGCATTTCTAGAACGTAGCTGAACAGTTTGTGGTGTTGCTATTTCTACGATGACCACTGGGTGTAACACAAACTGTATTTTTAACATTAGTCTGTTAAATCCACTCCCCAGATTTATTTGTGTTTGGTCCAGTGATAGAGTGGGTTGATGTGAAATGTGCTCCTGTAATGTTTTGCTCATCATACACTCATCAACTCTGTAATCTTCATCCCACAGGCTCTGTTTGCCTTCTGCTGCCTGGCAACAGGTTGCTATTGCTGCTGTTGTCTGTGTTGCTGCTGTAACTGTTGTTGTGGTAAATGTAAACCCCGGCCGCCCATGGACCAGGAACCTGAATTTTACGTTTCCCCTGAGGACCTTGAGGCCCAGATGAATGCTGATGAGAGAGGTGAATCAAGAACTATGCTTTATTGAGTTTCTCTTTGTGAAAATTCTCTGTATTATTGTGGTTGGATATTTCACTTGTTAAATCTCACTTTCTGCTCATTCTGTGTTTGAATTGTGAAACATTCAAACAAGGATGCTCTGTTGTCCTGCATGCTTTGCCTTTTCCTCTGCTCCAACACACCTGATTTCAATGAATGGGTGATTATCAGGCTTCTGCAGAACAGAGGAATTCATTCAACCACTAAGTCAGGTGTGCTGGAGCAGGTGAACAAGCAAAACATGCTGGTTGTAGATCCACAAGAAACAATAATGGACACCACAGTATTAGAACAGGACATCAGATTTGAAGCCTCACAGAATTAAAATCTTAAGTCTTCAGTAAACGTTAAAGTTTACTTAAATTCTTCCTGAATTTAGTTAGTTAGTTAGTTAGTTAGTTAGTTAGTTAGTTAGTTAGTTAGTTAGTTAGTTAGTTAGTTAGTTAGTTA